TCCTTCCTTCCTTCCTTCCTTCCTTCCTTCCTTCCTTCCTTCCTTCCTTCCTTCCTCCCTCCCTCCCTCCCTCCCTCCCTCCCTCCCTCCCTTCTTTCCTCCCTCCTTCCCTTCCTTCCTTCCTGTTTTTGGTTTTGGTTTTTTGAGACAGGGTTTCTCTGTATAGCCCTGGCTGTCCTGGAACTCGTTCTGTAGACTAGACTGGCCTCGAACTCTGTAGAGTGCTGAGATTGAAGGTGTGCACTACCACTCCCAGCCTCAAATGATGCTGCGGGCCGCAGGAATATCATAAGAACTCAGCTGGTTATGGCAAAGTCACTACTTGTAGGAATCAGGGAATTCCTCCAGAGGAAGCCAAATCCCAAGAAGCTTTTGGTGTTATTTGGCTTGTTATATATCAGCTGTTATGAAAATCATGTGTGCCTTCATAGCTTTCCCAATTGGCTTTTCCCTAAGAAGGGCTAACGGTGTGGACTGATCACTCTCTGGACATTCCAGGTATTTGGAGAACTGCCTCAGGAAAGGCTTTCTCTGGAATCAGATATCTCCCTTGGCCACTTTCAAGGACTAGCAGTAATAACAGTCCACATGCAAGTCTCCTGATTTAAGGTAAATTCCACAAGGAGACACCACCTAGGTCAGGTGGACGTTAAGTAATAGCTTTATACAATTCAGCTCGGACCCTCCTTTCTTACAGCCTTACTAACTTTATCGACTGCTAACTCCTTACCTAACCACTTCTAGGAATATTTGGATAACCTTCTGCGCTGACAGCTATGCTCAGCCAGAACCCCAGTTCAAGCCTCCCTGTAATTACCATCATTGGCAGCATCCGGCCAGGTCCATCCCCAGATGGAGGAAAGTACCTTATCAGAGATACTTCTGTATTCTCTAACAGACTTAACCATCCAGGCTACCTGTTTGAGAAGGCCTGGCGGATGTACCAATTAAGCCTTACTTCCTCCTTTCCCAAACCTTACCTCTAGTTCCAGATCTCCCTTAGCTATCACCAGAGGCATCTAGCTGTACACAGGTTGCCTAGCGACCGAGCACACCTTCCCCCACCCTGCAGAAAAATGGCAGATAGCTTGGACAGATAGGAGCCACAGGAAAAAAGGCAGTTTTATTTTCTCCCATTGACCTAGCAACTTATAGATTCTTAACATTTTCTACCAATCATGTTTAAGACTATAGTTGAGCACATAAGAGTCCCTCTTCTTAGATATTACCCGAATTTAGCCTTTAGTTAATTCATTTCCCCATTGGTCACTTCCCTTTGGGGTTGCAAATGATAATTAACAGTTATTGCCTCTCTCTGATTCTTATCACCCCTCTGTTTGACCCTGGAAGACTGGCTTTATATACCAGAACTTCCAGGGCACAGAGGAACTGAGAAGAGAAAAGAGTATGGGAGAACTAGATGGGTAAGAACTTGAGAGGAACAAGCTGAGATGGGGAAGAACTAGATTGAAGGGCTAGAAGAGAGTGCTAGAGGAACGAGATGGAAGATGAGGAAGAGTCAGATGGGGAAGTACTAGCTGGGTAAGAACAAGATGAGAAGGACCTAGATGAGGCAGAGTTAAGACGAGAGAATTAAGATAGAACTTACAGGGAACAGTAGATAAATATAGAGAGAAATCAGGCAAGAAAGGAGCTAGACACAAGAACAGAACTAAAGCTGTGTATAACGGATGTTATGCCAGAGGAATTAAAGCAAGTGGACGATAGAGCTCGGTGTGCTGAGATTCTATTTCCTGAAAATAGTCCTCACCGTTGGTAGTTCCCTCTCCTGAGCCCCTGGGATGTATAATATTAAGGCTGGTTCCTCTAATACTATACAAGAAAATGATATCGTCATTAATTTTGAGAAACTTTATAGTCTTCCATTGTTTGATTCTATCAGCCTTTTAAACTCTTTTCAAGAATTGTGAGATATTTAATGTGACCTTTCCTTCTTTTCTATTTTTACACTAAAATACTGTACTGAACACCCCCACATCCACCCCTTACAGTGCTAGGCAGTAAGCTAGGCCCTCCCGCTGCTAGCCAGGCACTCTCACTTCCTGGAATACTCGGTAGTTTCAGGTTGTGTCTTTTTTTTTTTTTTAATTAATTTATTTATTATATATATGGTGTTCTGTCTCCATGTATGCCTGCAGGCCAGAAGAAGGCACCAGATCTCATTACAGATGGTTGTGAGCCACGATGTGGGTGCTGGGAATTGAACTCAGGACCTCTGGAAGAGCAGCCAGTGCTCTTAACCTCTGAGCCATCTCTCCAGCCCCCAGGTTGTGTTTTAAAGTTGACCTGAGATGAAATCTGCTCCAGTAGGTTAAATAGCCAGCAGACATACACCAGGTTCATCTACTGTTAGCATATTGAGGTTTTTCAAAGCATTTGAGTTTTAGTAAACTTAACTTTCGGTGGTTGTTGTTTAAAGGTATTTGTCACCTAAATTGAAGTCTCGGTCATGGCCATGTGAAGCTGTACCTGGAGAGGATAAAAGCGGCATATCTAAGGTATGTTGGTGCTGAAGAAGCTCTCGGGCATTGACTCTGCTCTGGGTACCTGTGAGTACCTGTGCTGTCTTCAGCTCACTTTTTCTCGAATGGGCCAGGGACAGACACTTTAGTCTTTGTTATCAGAGGGCCTCTGCCTTTGCTGCCAGTGGCTGCCTCCTTAGTAAATAGGCAAACAAGTTAGCTTATGTGTGTCCAGGGAATCTCTCTCTTCCCCACTCCACCCAACCCACAGACAGGGTTTCTCTGTGTAGCCCTGGCTATCCTGGATCTCGCTCTGTAGACCAGGCTGGCCTCGAACACACAGAGATCCGCCTGGCTCTGCCTCCCGAGTGCTGGGATTAAAGGCGTGCGCCACCACTCCCAGCTCTAAATGATTTATTTATTTTTTATGCACATTGTTGTTTTGGCTGCATGTTTGCCTGCAGGAGGGTGCCAGAGCCCCTGTAACTGGAGTTACAGGCAGTTATAAACTGCCATGTGGGGGCTAGGAATTGAACTCAGGTCCTCTGAAAGAGCAGCCAGTACTCTTAACCACTAAGCCACATATATCTAGCCTCATATAAGTGTTTTGCTTGTATGTGTGTATGTATAACATGTAGATGCCTGGTGCCCAAGAAGGTCATAAGAGGGCATATGGCTCTGGGACTGGAGTTGGTGCTAGGAGTCAAATCTGAGTCCTCAGCAAGAGCAGCAGGTGTCCTGAACCACTGAGCCACCTCTCCAGCCCAAACTGTTTCCAGACATAGGCAGCAGGATGGACTTGGCTTCTGGGCCTCGGTTTCTAATCCCCGACTAACGTGGCAGCATTGACACAGCTGAATATCTGCACCAGTGTACCTAGAAGACGTTAAGATGGGAAGTCCATGTTAGGAGGGGGTCCTCACCACTGAGATCCTCCGCAGTGGCCTAAAAGTAATACCAAGCAACACCGTGCTGGCACTCAAACTCCATGTCCGAGTGGCTTCTGGGCAGGGTGCTGCGGACCTATAATCCTTCCACATAGGAAGATGGAGGCTGTGCCCAGAAGACTGTGAATTGGACTCCATTGCAAGTCCATGCTACTCTGGACTGCATAGTAAGACTCTTGTTTCCAAAGAAGCCAATTATTTCCGGTAACATCCCTAATGTACAGCTCTCAGGGGTATTGGTAAGGGACAAACCTAGTCAGAGTTATAAGTCACTTCAAGCTTTGGCTTTTTTTAAAAATGTGTTTATTTTGTCAGGTGGTGGTGGTGCACGCCTTTAATCCTAGCACTTGGGAGGCAGAGCCAGGCAGATCTCTCTGAGTTTGAGGCCAGCCTGGTCTACAGAGCAAGTTCCAGGACAGCCAGGACTACACAGAGTAAAACCCTTGCCTAAATAAATAAATAAATTTTAAGGAATTTGTATGTTTTGCCTCCAAGTATGTCTGTGTACTTGGTGCCTGTTGAGGCCAGAAGAGGGCAACAGATCCTCTGGAACTGGAGTTATAGGGAGCTGTGAGCTCTCATGTGAGTGTTGGAAGTTGAATTTCAGTCCTCTGGCTGTTTGTTTAGCCAGTTTTCTTAACTATTGACTTATCTCTGCAGGCTTGCAAATTAAGTTTTTTACCTAAGGGCTAAGTAAAAGAATGTGTATTGTTTTCTAATCTCTAATTTAGTGTTTCTTTTCATGTTTAGTATAGGAAACAAACCATGGTGCTGGTGATGGTATTTGTGACTGTGTCGTTAGAGGAAATACAAGTGTTGGCTAGGAGTGGTGGCATATGCCAGTGCTTGGAAGACTGAGGCAGGAGGATCTTATGTTTGAGGCCAGCCTGGGCTACATGAGACCTTGTCTCAAACAGACTTGTTCATAAGGATATTAAAATGAATCTCTATGCCTGCCAGGAGCCTGAGAAACAGAATGGGGCTGCAAGTACATCAGTAGTACAGTGTGCACATAAAGACAGGCCAGATTTGATCCCCAGAACCAAGGGAGGGAAGGGGAAAGGAAGGGAAACAAGTCTTATACTTTATATACACTTTTTAATAATCATCTCTTCTTTGAGATACAAATGATTCATGTTGCTACTGTATCTTAGTTTATCAATAAATATCTTCTGTGGATTAAAAACAAAACAAAACTGGATCTCATGTAGCCTAGGCTAGATTTCAACTTGCTATGTAGCCAAGGATGACCTTGAACTACTGATCTTTTTGTTTCCATCTCCTATGTGTTGGATTTTTGAATATACACCACCATGCCTGGTGTTACATGGTGCTAGGGTTTGAATCCAGGATTTCTTACATGCTAGACAATCTTTTTGCCAATTGATCTACATCCCCAACTCTTACACATTTGTTTTTTGCTTTGGGTTTGTTTGTTTTTAGGCAAGGTCTTACTCTGGCTGTCCTAGAACTCACTATGTAGACCAGGCTAGCCTCGAACTCACAGAGATCCACCTATCTCTGCCTCCCACTTCCTGGGATTAAAGGCATGTAACACTACTCCCAGCTCACACTTTTGTTTTTTAAATATTATAATAATCTTGTTACAATTCCTGTTGTAAGACCATGTTATCTCAAGTTTTACATTTACAAATACTTTCTGGCTGAGCGGTGGTGATGCACGTATTTAATCCCAGCACTCAGGAGGCAGAGGCAGGAGGATTTCTGTAAGTTCAAGGCCAGCACAGTCTACAAAGCCAGTTCCAGGACAGCCAGAGCTGTTAGACAGAGAAACCCTGCCTCAAAAAAACAAAACTTACGGCTGTCAGTAGTAGAGCACTAGCCCAGCATGTAGCAAGGTCCCAAGTTTTTTCCCAGCAACACCAAAACCAAACCAAAGGCCTTGAAGCACAGTGCCATATGCCTGTAGTCATAGCACTTGGAAGACTTAGGGGGCAGAATCTCTTGTCCTAGAGTTTCAGATCAGATTGTACCAAAGAAGGGCTGGAGAGATGGCTCAGTTAGTTCCCAACATTTCCATCAACTGACTGTAACTCCAGCTGCAGGGATTCAGTGTCTTCTCTGGACTCTGTGGACATTTGCACTCATGTCCATATGTCGCCTGTCCCTCCCACACACACGTATACACATAATTAATAATAAAATCTTTAAAATGTTAGAGAAGATCTGTAAAGGTCAAAACATCCTGGACTTGAAGTTTATAAGATGAAAGAGTGCAAATCCTGAGGCCAGCTATTGGCCATATGTTAAATATAGTTGTGGAGCTTACAGTAGGTTTTCATGGCAGTGAAATTAATTGTCCTAATCTTAATTGGCACACCAGGTAAAAATAGGATTAAGAAAGAATTATGGTAGACATAGGTTGTGATCATTGTTCCCATCAAGAAAGAAAAGAGAAGGAAAGATGGGGAGCAGAGGTGATGGGAACACACTTATTAGTACTACGTGAAGGAAAGGGCGGGCAGAGGTGATGGAACACACTTATTAGTACTATGTGAAGGAAAGGGGGG